GGGGGGCAGCTCGGGACCTCTAAGGGCCAAGCACGTGACAAAACGTCACCCTAAAGCTCCTCACCGCACTGTACGGAAGACGTGCAGCGGGAGCGCCCCTTCTAGAGCAGGGTACGGAGTGAGTGGGAAAGAGAGAGGACCCAGGACCCCTCTGTCTCTTCTTGCTTTGTCTTGTGCAGCATTCCTGCTGAATGTATGTGTGAATACGCATGTCGTGCAGTAGACTAATCCCCCACAAACGCCAGGATCCAAATTACTAAACGAATGAAAAAAACGTATTTCCGTGAGATTTTGTGAGTTAAGTCGAGGACGTTTGTGGTTTGTTCCGGGTCGGTCCTGCGCGCGGTGTACCGCTGTGAGCCTCAAACGACCTTCCCAGAGTGTGGGTCTGGATATTCTTTCTTTACGGCCCAGAGTCGGAAGGGTAGGATTTAAACAAAACTCCGGCGGAATAAGAAATAAGCCGCTGCGTCTCTTTCTCGCCCTTTCTCTCTCTATTTTACTCACACACTCTTCCCCGCGAGTCACTCAGTCGTTTCGTTCACTTCACTTCACTCCTCTCCCCCAACCACCGTCTCCCTCCTCCCTACTTCACCCCACACACCCACCCTGCATGCCGCAGCCGCACCTTCGGCGCCTATTGCACAGTCGGGGGTTCTTATATATCCCCCCTCACATGCCCCTCCCTCTTCCCTCCTCCCATGCCCCTCCCTCTTACCCCTCCCTCTTACCCCTCCCTCTTACCCCTCCCCCTCCGCCCCTATCCCAGCCCCTTCGTACCCCCGCCGATTTATGACTGTCGGCGCACTGTGTGGAAGTGCGGGACTGCTGCCACTCACTTCTTCATGCGTTTCCAACTCACCCCCTCCCCCTATGCCTCCCTCTTCCGTTTTATCGCGCTCGCCCTTTCCTTTACCTCCACTCATCACCCTTCTTTCCTTCGCCCTCCCACCCCTCCTTTTCCCCATGACCCCACGACCACGCCTACCAAACCAAACAGTTGCCCCCGTACAACTTTTCGGCTGAACATAAAGTCCTCTCCCCGCTTGCGACTGCATCAGCATCACCGCGATGGAAATGAGCTTTGGGCTGGGCGGCAGGGGGGCAGCAGCTACACTGTAAATCTAGGGCATCATGCAGCTGTGCGACTCAAGTTACATGACCCTAGCTGCTGGACACCGTTGTGCGTTGTGTTGACGTATCCTGTGTCCAGGGAAGAGCTACTAGATAATCATGGGACACCGGGAGGTCTACCAACTGAACACCGTGCCTTGATGAGGACTACCTACAGGAGAAGGGTCTCACGACAAGGTGTCCAGCAGCTGTGCGACACCTAGGTCACACGGGCTCCGGCTGTGCAACTTAAGGATCATCCAGAAAGTACGTCCGTCATTCGGCGTTACGAAATTGCCAAGTTCAGCCTCATCAAGCTCTCCTAGCGTCCTGTAGGTAGGCAACATCTTGCCTCGAGGGCATGCGTGTACCGCGGGATGGCCTACCTAACCTAGTGTGTCCCAGGCGCCGATCTCCCGTACCGGGTGTCCGGGAGAATACGCGGCAGCTCGATTGGTTGCCTACTCGCTGGTGGCAGGCACGAAGGGCGAGGGGGTACGGTGGAGGTAGTAGGTGGCAATAGGCCGCCTCCCACCACCTCTTAGTTTTGCGTGTCAGGCGAGTTTGTCGCCTACCTGCTGGACACCCCGGATTTACAGTGTAGCCAACCCATCGAGCTGCCACGTTTTCTCCTGGACACCCGGTAATTAGCCGAAACGAATCTGAGAAAAAGCGGACGTACTTTCTGGACGACCCCTTAATAAGTCGCACAGCTGCTGCTGGACACCGCTGATCTACAGTGTAGGGGCCAGAGGGTGCGGGGGCGGCACGATCACGGCAGACTGCCGCGAGGGGAGGGGGGCGTGCGGGGAGAGCAGTGGGGGTAGCGGTGGTGTTCGCCGACCTGACCGCCGCGCCCTTTGGGGGTGGCTGCTGCAGGCAAGGTTGCAGGAGCGTGGGTTGTGGGGAGCGTGTGTTCCAGAGACTCGACGTCGAAATAATGCAGCACTCTGCCCCAGCTGCAGACTGCACAGGCCCGGGGGGAAAGGGTGGAGTGGAGGAACAAACTGCTAGGTAATTGAATGAACGGCCAGAACGCGGGGGTCAGGCCGGCCGCGGGGCGCGAGCAGGGAAGCGTCGCAGCTCACACGCGTTGCGCCGCGTTGCGCCCCACGTTTTCCGATAAACGTTATACTGGTTTTTGTTTTTTCCCGCCATCGCTATGGTGCTGTTCGGGTTGCGCTTCGGGGGCAGCGTAGGTCGTGCCTCTCATTCAGTTTTTTCGAATTTATTGTCTCCTGTAGGGCAGGACGGGACTATGGGCCGCGCACCTTGCGCGGCGCCGGCTCTTTTGTTGAAATCGCCGCTGTTCTGGACGTGATTGCCGCTGGAGTTGGACGCCCGGTCGTGCCGAAAGCGATCTGTTGGACGGATAAAATGATGACTGCACAGCACGCACACACATTTTCTTTTTCTATGGCAATATAATAGTTTTGTTTTTGTTGTTTTTTCGCAGACGTACAACGCCGACGCGCAGGTGGGCGAGTCTTCGGCCTGCGCCACCGCCCTCATGTGCGGCGTGAAGGCCAACTTCGAGACGGTGGGGATGGACGCCCGCGGCCGCTTCGAGAACTGCGCCACCACGCACAACTCCAGGTCACCGTCGCTGCTCAGCTGGGCGCAGCAGGACGGTGAGTCTGAAGCTCGCTGTCGGTCGGCAAGGAGACAAGTAGAGGAGGTGTCATCACTAAAATAAAGTTGAAAAATTTTAAGTGCAATTTTTTAAAAGAAAGATTGGAGGATATTGGGATTTAAAAACAAATTTTACAAGTGAGAGGTAGAAGGGAAACATTTTTCAATGCGAAATTTAGCTAGCTACTTTTTGATTTCAAAAATTGAAAAGTATACAATTTTTAAAGCCATTTTTGTTATTTTTTCCAATCCTTTTAATGTTTAGGAGTTATATTTGTAACTGCGTCTGTGAATCTCCGGGGAGGATGCTGATGTGGACGTTTGTCACAGGCAAGGCGACGGGGGTGGTGACCACGACGCGGCTGACGCACGCCACGCCGGCGGCGCTGTACGCGCACGCCGCCTCGCGCTACTGGGAGGACGACGGCAAGGTGCCGCCGAGCAGCCGGCGGGTGTGCAAGGACATCGCCAGGCAGCTCGTCGAGGAGGAGCCCGGGTACAACCTCAACGTGAGTGCGGGAGGCTTTTGCGCTCGGGAGAGCTTACGGCACGGCGCGGCGCGCGCTGCTGACGCTGGCCAGACGGCTGATCTATGTTTTGCTCGTTTTGCATCGCGCATTGCAGAGCGGGCACGTTTGCACGCGTTGGCGCGCCGAGAATTCAAACGATGTGGTTCTGTCGGCTGGTGCGGCCATGGGGTGGACGGAGTATGAGCAGTAGTGTGAACAGGAAATTCTTCGTAGGGGGAAACACACACACATGCACACAACTACACGCACACGCACAGAACAGACACAGAGGATTCACCAAGTGGAACAACGGCTGTATCAGGTGCGCAGTGCAGCGCGCTCGGCGGTCAGTTTGCCAACGGCACGACGGGGCAGGGCGGGGCGGGGCTGGGCACGTGGTGTGAGTCGAAATTTTCCGCGAGCTGGCTCGGCCGTGCGGCGTGTGTTAGCGGTACACGCGCCCCGCTCCGCCCTAACGGCTGAACTTGACTCGTAACGAGTTTAACATGGGACGCAACCCCCAGGCGGGCCCAGCCCAGCCCAGCCTGGGCGAGGGCGAGGAGGGCCTTGGAGAGAGAGCCGCGGCGCGGCCGCGGCCGGCCCGGGGGTGCGGTGCGGCGGCGGCGGCGGTCTGCTCGGCGTGCGGCAATAGGGTGTTCCAGGCTATCTAAAACGGAAGTGAAAAAGAACAAACTCACCGATTTATCTGTTTCCGTCCGCCCAGTATGAGAAACTACCATGGCAGTTTGGTCCGATCCTATAACCTCTCAAATATGGAGGGGAGCTCGAAACTGATCTGACAGTTTCTCATACCTGAAAGGCCTCGGAGGCACGTGATAAGCTCCACCAATTACAGCCATAACGGAAACAGAAAGGTCAGTGAGCTTGTTCTTTTCCTACTTCCGTTTTAGATTGCCTGGAACACCCTATTGGCTTTGCCACAACACAGATTAGGGGGGAGGGAGGGGCGAATTTTCTTCAGCTGCGCCTCGCCCGGCCCGGCCCCTGCGGCCCGCCTGCCCCCCCTGGGGCCTGCCCCCAGGGCTTCTTCCTCTTCCGCCCGCGACGCAAGCGCGCGCGCAGCCCGTGCAGCCCGCGGCCGCACAAAACGAAATAGGAAAAAGAGAGGAGGAAACGTGCCGCGAGAGGCGCCCCCGCGCCCGCGAGCAGCCTCTCCACCTGCCGAAGGAAGCAGCAGGATGTCTCGGCGGGCGTACCCGCAATCGCAAGAAGGACCGCGCCCACCCCTTTTGATGCCGGAAATGAAAAATTCTTTTCAGCAACCAGCGGGAGCAGCAAGCTGAAAGCTTGAAAAAGTAGTAGTGAAGGACGTTGACGGAAATTCTGTGTGCTGCGGAGGGGGCTGCGATTTGGATGCAAACGAGCGCAAAAGCCAGACAAAGAGTAAACACGACGGTACGCCAAACGAGCCGCAGGGACGCAGGGATGTAGGAGGGCGGGGCTGGGCGGGACGGGGCGCGACGCGGAGCTTGCGCCACATAATTTCGCCTCACGGTCCCCCATGAATATTTCGGAGGACGGCCGCGTTTGTTTCCGTTCATTTCTCCCGCCGTGTGCTTGCTGCCGCTGCTGCTCCTGCTGCTGCTGTTTGCGCCGTGCGCGACGCACCGTTGGCAAATGCGCCGCTGTTTCCGCCGGGACGGTGGCGGCGCGGCCCGGGCGGCGAATATTGACGGAGGGGTGATTACATATCATCAGGTTGACGATATTACATTAAAACCGCAGCCTCGGCCGCTGCGGCAGCCGCTCTGCGCGTATATCACTGCCACGCGCCGCAGCAGTCTCCGGGGCCGCGCGGTGCCGGGCAAGGGGCGGGCCGCGAGCCTGCGGCCGCGGCGCGCGCGACTTTCCTGTCGATAAATAAATAGGGGGATGACGGAAACGCTCGTCTGGCGGGGCGGGTCCCACAAAGTGCCAATTAGTCACGCCGAGGCGGGGGAGGAGCGGGAC